TCCCCTTCGCGCCCTCTCCCCGTTTTCTCCTCATCTCCTGTAGGTGCGGGACCCCTTTGTTAAGGCCAAAGTGAAAAATCCTAAACAATTTCGCAAGGAGCTGCTGCTGACTTTATTTTTGGGGTACCTTTCAGATCTGCAGAAGCAAGAGGAGCGCGGAGAGCTGCTGCAGCCACTGATCTTCGTCCTGCTGGTGCTGTGCTCTGTCCTGCTGTACTTCAAGGTGTCTCTCATGGACCCGGGTTTTGTTAAGTCTGAAGAGGAGATGAAGGTATATCATTTAACGAGTGGAAGAAAACAGTGGGGCTATAAAATGTATAGGCTTTTTTTTTTTTTCCTTCCTCTTATTCTGCTAGATAAGAATAATCTGAAACACTTTCCGTTGCACTTGGCATAAAGGAAACACACACAGACCACTGGAGATCAGGGCGGACAGTCTCTGATGCATATTCTGTAACAGCAATAGGGTTCACGGACTGTAAGCGTGTCTTTTACACCCTACTCCTGTTGTAAGTACACAGTGCCACTTGAGTGTAAGTCCTCTCTTGCATTAGAGGCTGCAGTACCCTATGGAATGTATACGTGACCTGTTTTAAGTAGTATAAGTGCAAAAAAACCTGAATTGAATGGCAAATTTGGAGGAAAGTGCTCTCTGCAGCTCTGTTTATCGAACTGTCTATAGATTTGTTGTCCTCTCAAAGGACAGATACACAAACAAGTTACAGTGAGATAAATAGAGATGCAAAGTTTATTTAACTGAGAGGTAGTCTGCTCCAGGTTCACTGCCCTACAGATTGTGTAGGACAAAAGCATTATCAATTTCCATCATCCAGCATTAATGGAAATGTTGGCTGGGTTATGGGAGTGAAGTCTGACCTTGTTTATTCTTGTCCCGTAGTGTTGGGATCAATATGCTATCTTTCTGCCTCTGTGCAAACTTTCTTTTGATGGGTACAGCAGCCTGTTCTCTCTCAATGTCCCTTAACTGTCTGCAGGGGAATTTCGTGACAGAGTATTTATATAGCAGCTTCTGTAGGAATTCTAAGGAATTATTTTGACTTTCCTAGTGATAGAGATAGCCAGCACTGTGTAGTTGCTAAGTGAAAGGATCCAGACAGCTCAGTCGTGCCAAGTGGGCTAATAGCTGCCGTACTTCAGACAGCGGCACACAAAACCTCCTTAGTTACTCCCTTTTCCTTTTTTTTTGCAGGCAGGTAAGAGTGAAGAACAAAACATGGTGACACCCCAAGTTCCAAGCAACGTTAAGATGCGGCATTGTGGTTACTGCATGGTGAAGGTAGGCATTCATAACGAACTAGAAGAGAATGGGATGGCTGATTTGCAGGCATACATTTTTTGGCAACATCTTTGGTCAGCTGCTGTTGCTGGTGTTTTTCTGCTTTGCCATTGCTGCTCACTGCTCAAGGGTTTGGAGGAATGGCAGATCCAATTAATTCTGTCACAGGGTCACCTGAAAAACTCCCAGAAAAAAGTAACTTGCATATTGAATTCAGATACAGTCCTGAATTGAAAAGTGATCCAAACATATTGTGTAGCTAAAGATGTAGTAGTGATGGACACTGGCATGTATGCTAGTTTTTCAACGTTGAAATGAGTCCCTGCTGGCTCACAGAAACAAGGATCTTCTTTTACCATGGGAAGACTCTATTCTAAATTCTTACTGCCATGTCAAGCAGACCTTACAGTATTTTCAAAGAAGTTATTTTGAAGGTCCCTTCCTAGAGTCAGAAAAACAGTTGAGCATGACATACAAGAACTGCTGGTAGCCATGAGCACATCTGGAGGCCTAAAAACAACAAAACATTAGCCTGAGTTGTAAAAGATAGCATGAAGGAAAAACTAGAGCAATTAAATGAGCTCTTAAAACAGTTTGCCTAAAGCCTAGAAATTCCTGTTTTCAGAGTGATCCTTATCAGCTTAATGAAGGAAGACGATTTTGCCCAATGTTCTCTTCTGGTGAACAGGGAATTGAACAGCAGTGCGCTATTGCTACTGTGTGTTTGGCTTTTTTGTTTTGCAGCAACCAATGCGAGCTAAGCACTGCCAGCTGTGCCGACACTGCGTACGACGCTACGACCATCACTGTCCCTGGATTGAGAACTGCGTAGGAGAGAAGAATCACCCCCTTTTCATAGTCTACTTGAGCGCACAGCTTGTAGTTCTGCTGTGGGGAGGTCACGTTGCTTGGTAAGGCCTGGAGGCGGCACTTGGATCTCTGAGATCACTAAAGGTTTTGGTTCTAGAGCACCACTGCAGGGATTGTGTAGAACATAGCAGTGACTGAATTTACTTCGGATTGCCTTTGTATCTTCACCCTCTTTTGCATCCTGGAGATCAGCTCTTCTGAGCCCCTTAATAGTTGAGCAGAATCTGATAATTTAGGTTTCATTGCTCATCTTTGTTTTAAGCTTAAATTAACAGAATTAGCAGCAGTACAAAAGCCAATTAATTTTGTTTCAGTTGCTGTAATGTGATCTTTACTTACAAATCAAAGTACTGGAAACTCCTGCAGGGTTTCAGCTGTACACCTGTTCAAGAGAGGAGTTAACTGAAGATGACTGTCTGTCTCAGCTGTCAGGGGAACCAGCATCTTTTAAACTTCTTAGATGCTAAGTCACTACTGCTGTAGCCTCTTATGAGTTTATAGTATATTAACTCTCTGTAGTATGTGATTATCAGAAGGTCACTATTTTTGAATCAAACTTAAGTGTGCCATCACGTTTGCGTGGCTTCTGTAACTAGTTTTTACATCTTTAACCATGAATTTATTTATCTTTTAATTGAAAGGTCAGGCCTCTACTTTGAACAGTCCTGGGACTGGCTGCAGCACAACATTTTCCTCCTCCTGTCCTTCCTCCTGATAGCCACATTCACCATTGTTGTCCTGCTGCTGCTTATTTCACAACTCTATCTGATCTCCTGCAACACCACCACCTGGGAATTCATGTCACATCATCGCATCTCCTACCTGAAACACTCTGAGTTGGAGAATCCCTTTGACCAAGGGGTGGTCCTCAATCTCTGGAGATTCTTCTGTTCGTGCCACCTCACTGCATGGGAGAAAATCTATTTTCACAGAAACAATGAGCCTGTCTAGTCACAGCAGTAGCTACCTGGCAGAGCACCAGCACAGCTGTAGGTTGTTGGGTGAAGCTTTGCTAATGCAATTGCTGCTGTTTCCTTGCACAGAAAGTACATCATGAACTATGCAACCTGTTCCACAACCCGTTCATCCTGCAAATTACATTTCAAGATAGTCAGGGTTATTTTTTATATACGAACAACACTGTTAAAGTCGAGACACTGGTTCTGGGAAGGCCAGCAGGGCTGATTTCTGGAGCGAGCAAAGGTATCTCTGTAGATATACTTCCTTCTGCTAACTGCATCCACATCTCTCCAGGAGAGATGCAAGAGTAGTGTCAGCATCAATGTTCGCTTCTCTTCCCCAAAGTTTCCCTCTATTTTTGCTGCTATGGAAAAGCAGCTCTTACGGCCAAAATCAATATAATTCCTGTGGCTTTTCTTCAACGTAGTTCTCCCTGTGAGAACCGTAGTGCCTTTTGTCAGTAGTGTTGGGTACATAATAGAAATATTTGAGTAAATATTTGTACAGTTAAAAGTAAATTTCATTTTGACCACATGCCTCAACTTTATGCTTTTCACAAAGATTTGAGGCTTAATAGTGTTAATGTGCATGAGAAACAGCTGTAAGGCACCAAATTCAGCTTATGAGATAATTAGCCTGTACTTTGTGTTGCCCTGACTAGCTTCCTAACAGCTTTTTCTTTAAGTTGATGGTGCTGTGAACAATTAACAGACTGTTGAATGAAGTCAGCAAAGAATGATACCATCCACTTTTGTCTGGACAGAAAAGTAATACTTGCCTACTGAATTATTTCTGCAGATAACTTCATGCTCAGGCCTTGACTGCAGCTTGTGGGGAGGGAACCAGTAGCAGAGGTGGGTGCTTCTTCCCTAGGTCAAGTAACACTGTTGGTAATACTACTACCTCCACCTACTAGTAAAATTTTAATAAAAGAATACAAAGTTTCAATGCAAGAGGAAAGCTTCTAGGTCCTGTTTGTTTCACTGAGATGAGGGCGTGCAGATGGCTTTCTGGGATAGCAGCAAGTTTACTTCTTTTCCATTGTAATATAAGGGTCATACTCCAAGCTTCCGTGAGGAACTACAAGGAAATTTGGGATGACCAATTTCAGCTTTAAAAGCAGAAAAGGCTGTGGTGTGAATTTTAGTCCTGAGCCTTTTCTGTTAAAAAAAAACCCCAACAAACCAAAAAACCAGCACCACAACAGAACCTTAGTTAAAATTATTTTGTGCCTTAATGGCCTGGGCTCAGGAATGATTAACACCAGCTCAAGAGCACATCTGGCAGGCTGGTAGGATGCACTCAGGGTTTAAAGTTGATAAGCCCTCATGAAAGAATGGGGTAGTCACTAATACAGCACAATAGTCCCAAATCAATTTAAAAACAGGAGAAAGATCCCTTTTCTGACCAAATCCAGAATTTGTAATCTGTGTCTAGTCTGGTTCAGGGTAGAAACTCCTATCAGAGGGATATCAGGTCGCTAAGAATTGTTTTCATAGTATACCATCCTGAAAGGATGCTGCAGGTTGGTTTTGTCAGTGTGGTGTCTGCTAAAGTATGGCTCATCTGCCACACTTTTCTGGTTCTTCAGGTATCAGTCAAATAAAAGTTTGTCAGCAGGTACTACAGCTCAAAACACACAGTTTTGCTCTGTTTTGGAATTCTTTTTTAAATGCACTAGGATGGTAATGTATGGTCTTTTTACTTTACTATAAACTATAAATTAAAAGATCAAATAAGCCTTTTATGGTTCTTTATGCCTCTCTCTCTGAACCCAAGTTTTAGGTTTCACCTGTGCTAACAATCCTCTCTGCTACTTACAGAGGCTTTGACCTTAAGAAAAGTCACAAAACACACTGTAGGAGCCAACAGCAAGCCAACCGTTACTGTTCAAACAAGGGTGAGGAAAATGTGTATCCTGCTTTAAGTGGCCCGTTACACTACAAGGCAGAGCAGGAGGTTGAAAGGATATTTGTACACTTGAATTTTCAGGAAGAGTTATACTTGGCTCTGAAAATAGGAAATCTAGGTTCAGTGTGAATTATTGCTGTTGTGCACAAACATAGCTCTTACCTCTCTGAATTCTGAAGCACTTAGACCAGCCTTGATTTAATACTGACGACTCACTAGCTGTGGCGGAACCTTATCTCCAGGTACGGCACAATTGCATTAGTTCAACTTCTGTCTACCTCTGTTAAAGACAAACTGAAAGGTTAATAGCTGTGCATCCCTATTTGTCATCAGTGTGATGCTTCATTTCTAAATACCTTTCCTTTTTTTTTTGCCCAACAAGCTAACGTATGAATTTAAGAGAAGAAAATTTATCTTAACAAGTATAATTACAAGTTATGTTACCAGGCAAATGAAATCACCTTTAACTTATTTTCCAGTATTAAGACTGCTGTTATTTAGCTACCCCAAAAAAAAGATACAGGACATACACACTGATAAAATCTGTGGAGAGACAACTTGACTGCAATAATTTGTATGTGACAGCTGATGACACCATGCAATATGTACACAGACAACTCGAGTGAGAAGGAAGGAAGGAAGAAAATATTACTATTGACATTTACAGAGAAAAACGTTCCCACCTGTTGTGCAGAATATGGTTAGCCTTGATCTGAAACATTCAGCTACACCAAGGAGAGGAAAAGCTGACATTTCATTATAAGAAAAGATATCTTTATTTATAAGATGTGCAAAGCTGTAGGTTTTTTAATATAATTAAAAACAATAGCTAAGATTTGGCATCCTCAAAGAAATAGAAAGGTACTCCTTAAGATACATCACGTGGATCATTATCAAACCCAAACACGATTATCTTGGTTGCGTTAAAATCCATTCCTTCTCTGGCATACATAATTATGAGTGGGAATACATATAAAATCATTATGAAGAGGGAACACTACATATCTTTTCTAGAAAATAGGTGAGAATTGGCCATTCCCCCTGCTACTCTGCAACTTGAAAAAGCCACGCTACTTAGGCTTTTTGCAGAGTAACCTGGGTTGCAGATATGATTTGATTTCATTAAGTCCAGCTTAAATTTCCATCTATAATGGCAACAGAAGACACATCCAGTCAAACATTAATTACTCCTTAAAGATAATTCACATTCAGTATCCCTCCAACAAATGAGGCTGAAAAAAACACAGCAGGTTAACTCAGCTTGCAGGGCACTTTCTTCCTGGGCTCAGCAGCACTACCAGTTCTCTGAACTCTGTTGATTTTCCATTGCCCATGCCAAGTCCTCTCTACGCTCTCTCAAGGTGGTAACAATCTGTTCATGCTTATTAGAGCACAGGAATCAAACCTCTAAAAGGTGTCTGGAGACAAAGTCAAAGTCCTTGAAGACAGCCTGCTCCTTTCGGGTTAGGAGAGCAACCTCCTCTGGAGGAGTAAGGATTGGCTTTTGTGATGTAAACTCTTCATCAAAGTTGCTAATGTCGGTGGGATCTCTTAAAGTGGGCACAAAAGGGGGCTTCAGAGTCCTGGCAAACAAGGCATCCCAATCAATCTCCTGTAAGAGAACAAAGTGAACAGGCCAAACTGAGAAATAACATTATTTATTAAATATGAAAGTAGGAGGAAGGATTGCAGCCTCCCTTCCAGATCATTTGCAACATGTCTGACTTCTACTAATTAAAAAAAAAAGGAAAAAAAAAAAACCCAAAAACCAGAGAGAGAGAGAATTGAAAAAAGGCCCCAAACAAACAGCATAGTCATTGCAGGCCAGAGATTCCAGAGATTCCATACGGTCTAAAGCTGTTCTGAAGAACACCAAGAAACAAAGCTGCAGCTCAGACTGTATTTTGGAGGGACAAAACCGAAGTGCAGCTCTGGCCAGGTGGATCTGTGGGCTTCCCAGCAATTTATGCTGACATCCAAGTTCTTCTCTTACTCCAATGCAAAGCCAAGCCAGGGGCTGTAAGGTTAATAACTTCTGGCAGAGGGGTAATGACAAGGAGGAATGGTAACACCTTTGCGCAGGACAGACATACACCCTTGGCCCAAAGCAAATGCGTCTTTAACCTATATTTCTCTTCGGATTCATGGATATTCTGCAGATGCCATCAAACAGACTGACTGGAAATCACTGTCATGACTAGACAGCATCTTTCACTGCTGCAGTTTGATTTTAAAAGGGGTGTTTGTTGATGGCTCCAAAGGTAGGTATATTTGTACACAGAACAGCACAACCAGAAATAACAAACTGGCTCTGGAAGCTTACGGATCCCAGAAAACACACTTGGTGGATGTAATTTCAAACACTGAAACACATATTCCTGAATACAGCAATGAGGTGCAACAGAAGGTACTGCTAAGATCTCACTGATAACTAATGGAAATATGCCTCAGTACCAACATAAAGCAAATTACACTTGGCTCAAACACAAGAGATGAGGAGGAGGGATAAACTGAGTTCCCACCTTGAAGAAGGCCTGGATTTTAATCTCTTCTGCATCTCTTTCCCCTGCTCCCAGTCTACGCTCTGGACACTTCCGAAGAAGCTGCAGGAAATACCAGTTCAAAATTAAACAACCAGAAAAAAGATGGACAGAAATAATGTTCCAGGGAGAAAAACAAAAAAAAAAGGAGATGGACTGACCCCTCAATATCTTCTCATTCTCACTTTGCAGCAAGTTTATAATCTGCTAGTAATAGCTCAGACCTAGTTCCTTGTAAACAACTTGCCAGCATCAATAAGATAACCGCTGTGAACTGCACAAAGCATCTTATCTTGATTGTGCACCTGTGACTACTGGGTCACAATCAAAAACTGAATCAGGCCATCTCCACGGAATGACTCACATTCCTGCCCCTGAATCAACACTTCTCCATTTCAGACGTAGCAGCAACAGACCTCAGCAAGAAGCCTGCTTAGTCGTCCTTAGGCAGAAGGATAGCATTTAAAGAGAAGGAAAGGAAAAAGATGTGTAAATTCTAAATGTTTCCTTAGTCTGTGTAGGCAGCTCCAGAGTACATGCACAAATGCTGTCTGCTCCTAATAGAGTCCCTCGGGATGTGCTTACACAGTAAATGCAAATTC